CTGAGGCAGGAGAATGGCATGAACCTGGGAGGCGGAGCTTACAGTGAACCGAGATTATGCCACTGGGCAACAGAGCAAGACTCTGTCTCAAAAAAAATAAAATAAAAAATAAAATAAAATAAAAATGAAGTGGCTGAGAACCAGACCTGAGCTCAAGTACTATCCTCTTGTTTGTTTTTTTAAAAATTCCAGAAGAGTTCCTTTGCCTACAAACTAGACAGGAGTCTGAGAATAAATGTTTAGTTTAACCAGGCACATAAGGTCTTAGAAGGAGTTAAGTATTTTTAGCACTTGTCATCTGCAACCTCTCACACATGTAGCCATGTTTTGGAATCTAATGCTGTAACTTGGTCAAAAACAAAATTTTTTTTTTTTTTTTTGAGACAATGTCTCTCTTGTTGCCCAGGCTGGAATTACAGGTGCCTGCCACCACGCCCAGCTAATTTTTTGTATTTTTAGTAGAGATGGGGTTTCACCAAGTTGGGCAGGCTGGTCTCGAACTCCTGACCTCAGGTGATCCAGCCACCTTGGGCTCCCAAAGTGCAGGGATTACAGGCATGAGCCACCGCACCCCCGGCTAAGACAAAATTTAAAGACGTACACATCTTAGTTAGGAAGTGTCTAATAATTACTAGTGAGGACGTGTATACAAGAAAGGAACCTGGAAACACTGACCCAGGGTCCAAGTTTAACTGCCCGCTTATACGCTACCAAAGCCTCCTTCTAGGTTGAAAATGAGCCAAGTGGTGCCAGGCTCAGTGGCCCATGCCTGTAATCCCAGCACTTTGGGAGGCTAAGGCAGGTGGATCACTTGAGGTCAGGAGTCCAGACCAGTCTGGCCAACATGGTGAAATCCTGTCTCTACTAAAAATACAAAAATTAGCTGGGGGTGGTGCTGCCCGCGTGTAATACTAGCTACTTGGGAGGCTGAGGCAGGAGAATCGCTTGAAACTGGGAGGCAGAGGTTGCAGTGAGCCGAGATGGCGCCATTGCACTCTAGCCTGGGCAATAGAGCAAGACTCTGTCATAAAAAAAAAAAAAAAAAAAGAGTCAAGCTGGGCCAGGCGTGGTGGCTCATGCCTATAATCCTAGCACTTTGGAGGATTCTTGAACCTGGGAGGCAGAGGTTACAGTGAGCCGAGGTTACACCACCGTGCTCCAGCCTGGGCAACAGAGTGAGACTCCATCTCAAAAACAATTAAAAGGAATCATCTGCTCTTACGCTTAGTCTCTCCATCGGACTTGCTCCTCTTGGGCGTGCGAGGTTTGGAAAGGGGTTTGGGAGGACTGTTGGCATCTGCCATTCCCACTCTATGGTCTTCACCTCTTGCTTGGTTCCCGTTTTCTAGACGTCCATTCACTTCCCGGTTGCAAGCATGAGCACCGTTCTCCAAGGACAAATCTTTATTTAAAAGGGATTTGACTTTAGCCAGGTAGCCCTCCTATAGCAGGAAAGGATAATTTAAGTAGCAGTGAATGTAAACAAGTGTCAGAGAACAAGGAAACACATGTGTTTCCATCATTATCATCATCATCATCATCATCATCATCATCATCAGGCAATGAGGACAGCTGGGGATCTTGCTGCCTCCCTGGTCACAGACAAGTTACTGGGAGGAGACATTTTTCTAGAGGCTGGGATGCTGAGAACTGACTTACCTCAGATAATTCTTCTTTACGTAATTTGGTTTCCAAGTCACATAACTGATTCTTTATTTCTGTTTGCAGAAATTCATGCAAGAGATTCAATTTCTCCTTCACACATTCCTGAGGGAAGGATATAGGTTTAGCGGTCCCCAGATTCCCAAGCTATTCACTAATGGACTAACACACAAATTACTGAGCTGCCTGGTCACATCACAATGACTGAACGACAGGCAATGCTGTCTCGGCCAAAACACAGTCATGAAATGTGTTCAGGGAATTTCCATTAGGATCATTTAACTCCTGTCTCCAAAGTGGTGAAAAATGGAAAAGCTGGAGGTGAGATGGAGACTTATGGTTTACAAGAACAATACTGTGCTTCTGTAAAGTGTTGGCCAGGCACAGTGGCTCACACTTGTAATCCCAGCACTTTGGGAGGCTGAGGCAAGTGGATTGCTTTGAGCCCCAGAGTTCAAGACCAGCCTGGGGTGACATGACAAAATCCCATCTTTACAA